CCCCCCAAAAAAGGGAAAATATTATAAAGAAACGTAGTTCATCCAATACAATTGACACTCGTTTAATTTCGTTAATTAAACTGCAAAATTTCCATTCAAAATTTACAATTCGAAATTTACGTTCGAAATTCATTATCAGAGAAAATGTTAGCTAATGAAAATTAGTTCCTAATATCGTCGATACTTGTTTCTAGTTTTACATCTTATGTCGCAGGTATGCGGACGTACGACGACTTTCTGTCGGTTGCGGTTTATTGTCGAGATCGTGTAAATCCAAACATGTTCATTTACGCGTTATCAGTGGCGATACTTCATCGTCCTGACACGAAGGATCTCCCAGTACCTCCATTGACCGAAGTATTTCCGGACAAGTACATGGACAGTTCGATATTTAGCAGGGCTAAAGAGGAAGCTAATCTGGTGCCCGAAGGTGCCAGGGTACGTGAAAGCATTTTGTCATTTGCAGATTCGTCAAATGATTACATTCGATAACTGACGTGATTTTAACGAGCAATTGCAAATAACTGTTTGGACGTCAAAGTAAAATCATACGACCATCGTCCTCATTTTTCACACTCTCCTGACTTTTCTGAGAGTTTCCGTAACAGTAAATAAATCCAATATTATTTACTTGTTTATTTTATTACTCTAACTAAGTGTTCTTCTCACGTGTAGGTTCCAATCGAAATTCCAAGAGATTACACAGCATCGGATCTGGATGATGAACATCGCGTCGCTTATTGGAGAGAAGATATTGGAATCAATCTTCATCATTGGCACTGGCACTTGGTATACCCGTTTGAAGGCGACATGCGCATTGTCAACAAGGATCGACGCGGAGAACTGTTTTACTACATGCACGAACAAATCATGGCGAGGTAAATGCATTCTTTTTTCTTTACATAAAACCTGTCAAGTCTCAATCGAGGTTTATCAAATCTCACATAAGTGTATTTAGAAATATACACTAAATAAAAACCTAAATGTATTTTTTCATTTCTAGGCTACGAGTTTACAAATAGTAGTATCAGTGTTATGTTTAGACAAAGGGATCATTTAATGTTTGATTTTGCTACTACCGTTCCTATATTGAAAGATCATCGCAATTTTGTCCTCTTTTCAAGTTTCTCGTTAATTTTGACCGTGTCGTTTAAAATGTTGCCTTCTAACGAGATTATACAATTTAGAAGTTACGTGTGCACCTACGTGTAGCGTGGAAGATCAACAAGGAACGTTAGCTCTTTACAAAAGAATTACAAAGGATAGGGTGTTTTATTTCTCGCATTTAAAAAATCTAAAAGTAGCTACTTTTTATTGTTAACTCAATGTTCTTATTCGTAATTACAGCCCATAACACTTCCGTTCATACCGACGTAGCGTTACATCCTCCAATTATATCTAACAATTGTAATGATGTAACCGATGCGATTGTATTTTGATGCATTCTCATAAAATGATTTATCGTTGGCAAGGTAAAAACTTAGTGTATCGAAGCTGCGAACATATTTGGTTCAAACTGAAGGAATTTTTTAACGTCAGAAAAAATTTAATTAGACCAGAAATTACCGAGAGCGCGTAGAAGAGTTAAATTCGTCATTGATAGATAATAAACATAACATTTTTTCAGATACAATTGCGAACGCCTGTGCAATCGGCTTGGACGAGTGAAGCGACTGCTTAATTGGCGCGAACCGATTCCGGAAGCTTATTTCCCGAAATTAGATTCTTTGGTTGCAAGCCGAACGTGGCCAGCTCGGCACAGCGGTGCTATACTTCGTGACATCAATCGACAGGTTGATGAACTAGACTTCGACATCCAGGATCTGGAAAGATGGCGTGATCGTATCTACGAAGCGATTCACACGGGATCTGTAATTAATGCGAGGGGCGAAAGAATTCCATTGACCGAGAAAGATGGGATCAACGTGCTTGGAAACATCATGGAGGCTAGCGTTCTGTCTCCAAACCAGAACCTTTACGGCGATCTTCATAACTTTGGTCATGTCGCCATTTCTTACATCCATGATCCCGATCATCGGTATTTGGTAAGCACGTTTAGGCCAATAATTCCTTTCTCAACCATTATAATTGGTTATTAGCGACTCGTTAAATAAAATCATAGCTCGAGTTTCGTAATATTTGCAATATTTTTATGGCGTTGATTAAAATTATGCGAGCTAGCTCCTATACAGAAGGAATCGATGCGAGTGTTTCACGGTCAGCAGAAAATTTATCGCAGGAATAAGATGAAGCGCAATAATTTTTGTATTATGCGTATCATATAGACAATCTTCCGTGGTTCATTTTCATTTCTTTTTTCTTCGTTCCTTGAGAGAGTAAACGCGTCGAGATTGCAGATTTGCATTGCTATTTTCTTTTCTCTTCTCTTCTTAGGAGACTTTCGGCGTTATGGGTGATTCGGCTACCGCTATGAGGGACCCCGTGTTTTACAGATGGCACGCCTTCGTCGACGATGTTTTCCAGGAACATAAAAACACATTGCCTCAATATACCGTGCAACAGGTATGAAATAATACTCGTATTCATCGTATAATTAAAAACCATGACTTACTGCTTCTTTTTGTTCGAAAGAAGGCCAACTTATGTTCGCCTTGATACATCCAATATATTTTTCGTTCTTTACAGTTGGACTTCCCAGGTGTGGAAATAGCGGATATCAAAGTGATGACTGATCGACAACAGAATGTTCTCAACACATTTTGGACCAAGAGCGATGTAGATTTGTCGCGTGGACTCGATTTCACTCCGCGTGGCGCCGTGCTCGCTAGATTCACTCACTTGAATCACGCTGACTTCACGTACAAGATTGTTGTTAATAATCGCAACAACGGAATACTAAACGGCACTGTTCGCATCTTCATAGGCCCAAAGGAGGATGAGCGTGGTCTACCATTCACCTTCAGGCAGCAGAAGAATTTCATGATCGAAATGGACAAATTCACTACTATACGTACGTTGCTGTATATCGTTAACTTTACTTTTATTCTCATTTTATCTGCTTCCAATCGAATATACTACTCGTTAAATTCCTTCAAATTTTCCCTCAGTTTCCCCGATATCAGATACAGGTTTTTGAAAATATTCTGCTAATCTTTATTCCAATTTGTTCTAATCTTATAATCGAGATACGGTTCGTTAGCTCAATCTACGCATAACGTAATTTTCCAATCTATCGTTGAAATGTTACAATAACATTTCTTCGTACATTTGATCGCAGTTCGTCCTGGACAGAATGTAATTGAACGCAAGTCAACGGAATCAGCTGTGACCATACCATTCGAACGAACTTTCCGCAATTTGAGTGAAAGACCAGGAGGAGGTAGTACTTTGCAGCAGTTTAATTTCTGCGGATGCGGATGGCCGCATCACATGCTTGTACCAAAAGGCAGCAAAGAAGGTTTCCCCATGGAACTGTTCGTCATGGTGTCCGATTATAAGGATGACGCTGTGAGTGCCGCTTGTCGTTATTTTATAAAGATAATTGAAAAGATGAAACGCCTAAGTAAATAGAAAATTGTTTCCCCCGTTAAGTATTATTACGAGTATGGTACTTTCGATATTTTACATAGATGCGCACATTACGCGCATTCCGTGCATTTTCCCACCTTCAAATTCCATAGAGACGCGTAGAAATCTACAATCTAATCGCGATTCGTAAAATTCTATTGAAATTTTCAAGCGCCTCGTAGTTGCATAGTTCTATGTTCCATTCTATCCTTTGTTCTTCTTGAGCGCGTATCTACAGAGATATAAGTTTGCAGAAGAATTCACAGTTTAATAAATTATCGTGCAAACAGACTGTGGCATTAGAATTATAAATAACGAAATCAAAATTAATCGTAACTATAATCGTTTGTGTTGCTATAATCACGCAGGTTGTACAAGATGAGCCAAGTAGTTGCAAGGAAGCTGTGAGTTACTGTGGATTGAGAGACAAGAAGTATCCTGATGCACGTGCCATGGGATATCCATTCGATCGTCAACCACGTCCAGGCGTTGAAAATTTAGCTCAGTTCCTCACCGGAAACATGGCGGTAACTGAAGTAACAATTCGATTTTCCGACACGGTCGTACCTAGATCTAGATCCGGAAGTACAAGCAATAACTTAGCTTTTACATAATCGTGCGTATTTATGGATAGTAATTGTACCGTTCTGTTGATTATACCGACGGAAACGTAGAATGGCAATTGTTCAAAGGTTGACCTTTTTATTTCTTACTATTTAGCTTTTCCTTCTATTTGGTATTGCGAAGCAAGTAAAATAGTATTTCTTCTCTCGTTGTTGGTAATTTCTTCAAACAACAGCTCTTTTTTTTAACCGAGTCATTTGTAATAAAAGTATGCGAACAAATTGTAATTTGCACAGATTGTTCGAATCAATGGAATAATTTTATAATAGAAGAAATTAAAAACTATTATATTTGTTTCGTCTACCGAGAAAGGAAAATTAATGTCGATGACTAACTCTACCTTTTACTTTTTACTATTTTAGTTATATTTTTATATTATAAAACACCAAATGTAACGTGTAAGACGCAAAAATAAAAGGCAAAAAAAAAACAAGTATTTAAAAATACGTAGACAAGTTTCGTTGATTTTAATTACCTGTATCATCTGTCATTAAAAAATAGTTATATTACATTCTGGAATCTGACATTCTGCCAATGTGTCTCATATACAGTGAAATTTTTTTTTTTTTTATTATTTATTTATTTACATTTTACAATTCGTCCAGTAGGACATTTGGTAAAATATTATAGCTTAGTGATATGGCAATATAGCATGTGGATGGCTACCCCCAGTGGGATACCATCTTCGAATTTCATTGATTTATTTCTTTAGTGTGGTGAGTGTTTGTATGTTTGGTTATGTCCTTTGTGAGATCTGTTGGGTGCTTCCTTTTTAGTCTTCTTACAGTGAAAATGAAAGGTACTATTAAACGAAACATATACTGGCTAGCAAAGTTAAGGATTACGAAACTTTCAATAAAAAATTATCGATCATTGTACTTTCGTCACTTCGTAAAGAAAAATTGCACGTTAATTTACTTGCAACTATTTTAAAACTTTTTACTTGCACCTTGGTAAATTAATTTTCCCCGCAAGTGCTTTTACATCAGCAAACTTGCAGTCCTAAAATCTTTACGATCTCAAAAATGGCACAAATTATGTACACGTGTCGAAGCTTGTAAATTTCAGTTACCAGTAGACTTTACGACCACGCTATACTTTCCAGGCAGGTATACCACGAGTAGGTAGACTAATTAACAACAATTCTTGCCTCAACTAAACCGTTCTGTGCTTCATCGAATAGTATAAATGCAGAGACTGGTTAAAACGAAGCGGAATAAATTCACTGTAAGTAAATGTTTTACAAAAATAATTGATAAACTGCCATTGTATGAAATTTTGTCTGAAATTTTGTACCAAATCGTATTAGGGGAACATGTTACTTCTATTCCATATATTGTCATACTTTAAGAACGATATCTTGGTCTTCGCGTTTCCTGGTTAATTTTTCCAACTGTTTCGATGAAGTTTCAATTAAAAGGCAGAATTCTTTCTCACGTTTTTCATATTACTAACTTAATTTAGCCATCGAATCCTAGAATAGAACAATGTACGATACGAGCGGTGTTCATCAACTATAGTTCACCAAAATTACAAAACAATCAAATGAAATTATTCAAACTACCTACTGTATAAAATTCAACGTATAAAATGAAACAATAACTTCAGCGTTTACCTCGTATAGAAAATGTTTTCTTAACCCTTAACTGCTAGCGTGGAGTCATGCAACGCGTCAGACATTACACACACTGTCACAATCTCCAATTTGTGCCAAGGCGTATGAGCTAACTATTATACATAGTCCGTAAATTCAAATCAGAATTTTTTACCAAACGATCGCAGAGTTGTGATTCGAAATTCTAATACGAATAGAAAACGTATTGCAGACAGTTAATTTGCATTTCGCTGTACCAATTGAGATGTAATCTGAATCGTTTAGCAATGTTTGCTGAACGTGTGATTAGAGTTAGACTGTCAGGCTTTAATGTGTACCGGCTCTGCAATTAACGATAATCCGATTAAGGCCAATTGGGCACGAGCGCTTGTTCTCGCTCCAATAAAGCTGATTACGAACAGCAGAATAAATAGTTACAGTCGTCAGCGGGAAACGCAAGTTTCGCGAACACCTTAAACTTAAAACGTACGAATTTGTTTTCCTCGGACGAAAAAATCGAGTCGCGTGGTTCGCAGTGTTGGAAAATTTAAAACTGGTGTTATCAATGTGCTTATTTTACTGGGCTGAATTTAGAATGGATTTTCAAATGGATTTAGAATTGTACGAAGTGTTAGAGAAATTGAATCTAAGATTGAAATTAGGTTTTGTAGCATTCGTCGAGAAGGGCGAAAAATGTTCAATAAACATAGATTTTAAAATCGATCCTTTCGATGCTATATTAAATCTTATTCCGTTGTAAAGCAGCACGATATTTAAATTCAACATCTGCTATTTAATTTTTGAAATTCTACATATTATAATATTGAAAACTTTATCGAACCTATTCCTATTTTCGCACGTGTTAGTATATTCGATAGGAAAAATCGATAATATTATATAAATACATTTAGGAAAAAAGAAGTGTATGGATTAGATTTGAAAGTATGCACGTATTTACATACGTAAGTAAAAGATTTCTTTCCAATTTCCATCGCTCTGTTGATAAAGAAATAATATTATCGGTGACGGATGATGATACCGATAACAGATAAAGAAGATTTTGTTCCATAATTAGATGATCGATGAACAGCATCGTGCAAAGTATCAGTACGTAAATTTATTTGCAGAATTGCGACTATGTTTGCTAATAACATAATAGAAATGCATAAAGTAGTTCAGATATTATATTTTCTACAATTTGATATTATAAATTTAGTTACGTATTTCATTTTTAAATGTAAATTAATATAATATTAATCTAATTTGCGTAAACAGAAGATCAACCGTGGAATAGCCGTGATACGTATGTTAACAAAATTAAATCATACGTTAAAAAGTGGAAAGCCTGCTGTCTTCAAAAATATTATTCACTCGTCTTATAACTGTATATCTCTACAACTTAAAACTACAAGTTGAACTAGATATTCTGCCTTTAAAAACAATGGTTGGTAAAAATAGCTTTACTTATCAGAATTAAGCCACGCAAAAGATAAGGTTATATCATTCGAGAAAATGGCATGCTCCTTAATTGTAACATCGGTAATTCATGCGTGAAAGTGAAAATTAACTTTCGACGTATAAAACACGTGATTACGTATAATGTAATATAAAAGAAGACTGGAATAAAGGTGACGATAATACATGATAATAAATAACGTATCAAACTCTGATATGTACGATATGATCGTAAGATGTCACGTGAAATAGTAATTTGACAAAACACATTGTTAACTGGAATTGTTAACTAAACAAAAACAAATTGTTAACTAGCTAAAATTATTGGTGACAGTGATAGCAGTAAATCAAGGAAATAGTAAAAGCCACTTTGTTTTCAAGTGCTTTCTATTATGCAAGTAAGTACATACTCTTCGTGTGTATCTTATTTTAATCTAATCCATTTAAAAGTCCACGTATGTAACACATGCAAACCTCTTGAAACTTTTCATTTATAAACAAACGATTTCGTATATTTTACGATTGTTTTGACAATGCGCTTACGATACATCGTGAACGTAAATATAAGACTGCGAAAGATATTATTAGTATTTTTATTACTATTATTATTAATATTTATTATTATTATTATTATTATATAGTACGGACACGACTCGTTATTTTATGCGAAAAATACGATAGAAGGAAAATATTGTACGACCGAGACAAAAGAGAATCTTTCTTTACTTCAAACTACACGATACTAAAAAAAAAATGCTATACGTATACATTGATACATTATAAGAACTGATGGCTCGATTAAGAGCTCTTGTAATCTTCGCATAGTATCCAAGTTGCATTTTGTTCGTAGGATACCTATATATACGTATACCTATACGTATGTTTATATTGGCAAAGTAAAGCGATCGTCATATCGCGACAGTGGTTTGACAAACTCATCGACAGTCCTGGCTAACCGAATCAGCTGGTTGGGATTATTATCATTAACCAATGACACTATACACAAATATCCAACCGCATTACAATTATAGTTATTTTCCTAAATGGTAGGGTATTATATGTTTTTCAAGACGCTCGTTCATCGGTAAGAGAACATCAAATACAGGAAAATTGAATCAATTGCACGACATAATACAAAAATAAAACTCATCTCACTAAAATACCGTTTCTAATTGAAATTTTTCTCGTATCCCTACTATCCTCGTTTCGTTATCAATTAAGGATTAAACATTGTGCTTTGAAACATTCAAACATCGTATCATCAGGAGTATGTCTAAACTTATTACTGGAATATCTCCCCGTTCGTTACATGTGTCAGCGATACGAAGTAGCGATTAATAGCAGTCGCTAGATAAGCACCGGGCAACTAGAAATGACCGCAACACATTTTCCAACGTAACACCAAGTACCGAAACTTCATGGTCGCAGAAAGTTTACACCCTTTTCATCCGGCGAACACATCGTCTGAGTTAACGAGAGACAACTTCGGTGACTGAGGTATTTATAAACGTGATTCGTAGTGGGAGAACGAATGGTAACGTAACATTGGCAAGTCAGATAAAAGTGGAAAAGCAAAGAAAACAGAGTTAGTGGAGAATGCACATCGCTATCATTCGTGTGTTTATTACGATTTATTAACGACTGCCACGGAAACATGTGCGATTGTAGGACGAGTGAAATGAGTAGTAGCCGAATTAACGAGTCGGTCAACATTAATTATGTACCTACATCGTGAAAACCACTCGGTACATTATGGTCTCTTTTGTGAGAAATTAAAAGTGTCATGACAGGAACTACGGATGTATTTGTGAGTATAAATGAATATACGTTTCTATTTGGTCGTAGGCTATTGCTTTTTCATGTGAAATCATTATTTTGCAGTTTGATTAGGTTATGTTATCGAGTACGAGGCTACGCGCGAATACATAGCGCGTGCGTGTATGCGTTTACATGCTGCACATGGCGAGCATGTGAAATGTTACCGGTCGCCAACTTACACATCTGTTGTATAATTTATTATGCATCGCTATGTATAATCGTGTATTACTAAGTATAATCGTGTGTTCCTATGTATAAACGTGCATTATTATGTACAACCAAGTATTACGATGCATAGTGCATCATATCGCGTAATTGTTTCTTTCTTTTTTTTTTTTTTTAATTCATTTGTTATTTCGCCAGTGATCCGTTTTGTAGTGTATATACATCAGATTGTAATTCGAACGATTAATCGTATCAGAGTTGTTATTGCGTATTTTCATCATCCCAGTAATAGATCGACCTGCTTTGATATAATGTAACCGAGTGTAATACATTCGATACTAAGATGAAATTTCATTAGGTAAACAGAACGTAGACGATTTAAATGCGGCGTGAAATTAATTACGCGTACGTTTTCGCTCATTTAAATTTATCGATACTTTGATTCTGTCGGAATATAATAATTGAAAAGAAAAGAAAAAAAAAACTCTTCCCAAAGTATGCATGACTGGAGACCCACAATGTAAATTTTTGCAGAAATCTGAATTAAACGAGAAAAAATTATCAGTTTTTAAATAACTGGTGTTTTGCTACAGTTATATTAGTAAAATATCTAAATATGGCTGATACTTAAACGATTTTAACATATACGAATAAGTTCGCGCGTACTACGCCTATCCATAAAAGCTATGTCCGTAAAAATGACGCCCACAAAAGTTACGTCCATAAAAATTGCGTGCACGCAATTTTTAAACACTTGCAATAAAAACGATGTCAAAAGTGCTCACGTCTGATTGAATATTACACGCGTACATGTGTAAGTACGTGAATGAATCAGTTGATTCCATGAATCAGTTTTCTACTTCAGCTGCATTTAACACTTTCCGTTTTGATTTCCGAGGAACGCAAAAGGCAAACGAACGACTGTTATCGCAGCCGGATAATATTGGGTTGGCAACTAAGTGATTGCGGATTTTTTCAACACCACCTAATAACAAAATCCGCAATCACTTAGTTGCAAATACAATATAGCATAGCCAATGTATACAAAAGCCCGATGATTCTTTGCGTCGTGAGCTTGAACGCAATCTTATTCGATATAATTGGGGCAAGTGCACCAGGAATCGAGCAATATTGTACACATTCGCAGAAATTATAGATACGATGTAAATGTACTCAGTGTACGAAGATGCAGATGCAAGGAGGGAGAATGATTTCTGCGAAGCGTTTCCCTACAGAGAAAGTTACAAACGAAAAAATATTTTGACATATGAGAGATCGTAGAAAATACGACAGTTTCAGTAAGAAACGTCGAAATAGAGGGAAAGTAAAGAGAACAAGAATTGCCGCGATAAAGGAAGCTATGCTCCAAGAAATTAAAGATAAATCAAATGCTGCATTATGATCGCAACGTAGCCGATGTAGCAAATGGAACAAAAATAAATAATAGTCGAAGCTGTGCAATTATTTTTGCTCATTTTAATTTTTATATTATAAGAAATATGTATCATATAATAGTTGGCATTCGACTGTTCTAACATTAGAATTAGGATATTTCCTAAATATAATAAGTACAAAAATATTATTGTTCCTATGTCGAAATATTTAAAATTAATTCGTTACATTTAAACATATAACAAGGAGAATTAGAAGTGTTTATGTGTTGAAATAGTGTCGACTGTATGTAAAGGGGAAGTATCCTCAGAAGTACCCAGTATGTTTGTGGCAGTCGTGTAAATCGTACAAATCAATACGAAATCCATTAATCGCAAGATTCAGTGTAAAGATTTCTTACAGCTGTTCTTCTTTTGCGATAGATAATTCCCAATGATCTTTCGTGCAGTTTTTAAATAATTATGTGTAAACTGGATTCTACAAATTGAAATATTGAAAATATATCGTGATTATATTATTGCGAGGAAGTACTTATTTCTCGTAGCATGTACCGGCTTAGGATGGTAAGCATTTAATATGATTACATAATAAATATTTTTGAGATAAACAGCTAGAAATTAAATATCGCAGAGTAACAAATCCTAAATTCTAATTCAATGAGAATATAAAAAAAAAAGAGTCTGTTTGAGATACCTATTTTCAGCGAATTTAACTATTATCCTTTTATTTCCAAATAGAGATACGAATCCATAGCAATTAAAGTTTTGATTCCTACGTCTCGATTTAAAGTTTTGGCAAATAATGAAATGTATTAGCATATCGTGTCGATAATACCAAAGAACCATCTCAACCTTCAAATATGATTCGATATTTAAAAGTCACAATAATTTCAAATCTTTGACCTTGTGTCTCAATCGATCGTGATCATTTAAAATTTTGAATCTTTCACCCTGATTTAAACGGTCACGACCAATCAAAACATAAGGTTCAAAGCTTAAGGTTTAAAGCTTAGGTCTTATAAATATCGAATCATATTCGAAGGTTCAAACGGTTCTTCGTTATTATCTATACGACATGTTAATATATTTTATTAATTACAAAAGATATTTAAGAAACATATAAAAACCGTTCAAATGATCATTGATTTGGAGGACAATCAAAGGAAATGATTTTAGAAGAATGTTTTCAAAAGCACAAATAACCTTTAGCAAGCGTCAGTGAAGAACTCAAGTATGTCTTCTATCCATAATAACATCAAATAACATCAAGCTGTTTAATTGCAATTTGTTGCAGTAATTTTAATGCTGTTCATAGAAATACCATAAATTGACTTTCTATTAAGATAGGAAAAAGAAACTTTTTAATTCTTTTGAAAAGATATTAATATTAAAATGCTTATTAATATCTTCTCCGCGGTTTGGAATTTATATTCGCTCAAAAGTTTGATTAGACTATCTAATTAGAATGGAATTATGGTTTCTATTCTTAACAAAGGTATCTGTTTTCCAGGTTCCCGGGGCATTGCCTGGGGGCAATGGTTTGCGTCGTGTCGTTTTAGTACTGCAACGAGCAGCTTATTGGCTGTGCAACGCAAAATTCCGGCGGCAATGGCTAGCATGTTTTTCCGGTTAGTTTTCACTCTTGATATTACGTCATGTGTTTATCTGTAATTTTAATATGCAGAATGCACTTTCCTTTGCTTCCTCGAATTGATGTTTCATAGTGGTGTTCCTGAACTATTTCTCAATTCTAATGACTTACGTACCATCGTTTAAAGTTGCATTTCTATTCCATCGTACATTATAATAAATTTGACATTTCGATTCTGATATTCATCGCACTGATTCTCTATTATATCATAAATCGAGTGCAGACTTTTATATATTTATGAGAAATCTGAAAGAGAAATAATGTTCATTATTACACATTAATACACCTAGACTTATCGCAAGTCTCTAACAAATTTTACTATATGTAGTATTTTATTTCGTGTAGTACTTTACTTAATGCACAAATAATGCGTATGGATTAACAGATTAATAATAAAATAGTTAAGAAATAAAACTAGTAGAAAGCATTCCACCTAACATCGCGAAGAGTCCAATTGCTTATAGCCTGCGGTATGTATTGAGTATAAATATATTAATAGTATATATTAAAAACATAAATTTGCGTAAATATACGCAGTGTTTTCATAAAAAAACCGCACTACAATTAACATATGCTATATATAGCATTGCTTGTTTCTCATTCCAGCAACGCTAACCATGGTCATAGTCGGTACAGTCTATGGATGGACAACGGTTTCACTCCTCCATCTAACATCTGGTACCGGTGGCGTGCCGCTAAAGTTAACACCCGACGCATCTTTATGGATCGTTATTTCGACAATACTTGGTTCAATGATCGGTTCACTTGTGGGTGCCAAGTTGGTCGATTTCGGTCGTAAATACTGCCTCCTTTCATGCTGCACAATTTTCTTCTTAGGCTGGTTCAACGTCTACATCGCAACTTCCTTGCCAAACCTATGCCTTGCTCGGGTGGTTCTCGGTATAGGCGTTGGTATGGCCTACACGATAAATCCCATGTACGTGTCAGAAATCGCCGACATCAACATCAGAGGCGCCCTAGGTACTCTAATCGCAGTGAACGTATTTAGCGGGTCACTGCTTACCTACATCCTAGGAAACTGGCTGACGTACAGATCACTCGCGATTGCTCTTCTAGTACTATCCTGTGTATCCTTCTTGTCGAACACGTGTTTTCCCGAAACTCCGTATTTTTTGGTGGCAAAACGTCGAAAGAAGGAAGCATGCAAGTCGATAACATATTACAGAAGCATCGTAGATCCTCGCGAAATCAAAGTCGCACTACGTGCTCTACAACCACAAATCACATGCAAATTACAATCACGATCCAGAAGCGATTTCACCTTATCATCCGCAAATTTCAGCTCACAAACCGGGAGTGGTTATGCCTTAATATCCTTACCGGACTTAACCACAGACTCCAACCCGGAAGCAGTAGACGCAGAACCCAGGTCCGATTTAAACTTACCATCCAGTAGCGATTCACAGTCACAATCCATATCCATAACACACTCGGCAGTCATATACAATGTACGACCGCAAACCACAGGTCAATTACCTCTACAAACCCCGCGCGAGATTCACCCACAACCCACAAGCGAATTACGCCTACCACACAAAAGCAAAGTACACCCACCATCCACGAGCGAAGTACACCCACCATATACAAGCGAAATACAACCAGGACCCACAAGCAAAATACAACCAAAACCCACAAGCGAAATACAGCCAAAACCCACAAGCGAAACACATCCAGAACCCACAAGCGAAATACAGCCAAAAACCACAAGCGAAATACAGCCAGAACCCACAAGCGAAACACATCCAGAACCCATAAGCAAAATACAGCCAAAAACCACAAGCGAAATACAGCCAAAAACCACAAGCGAGATACAGCCAAAAACCACAAGCGAAATACAGCCAGAATCCACAAGCGAAACACATCCAGAACCCACAAGCAAAATACAGCCAAAAACCACAAGCGAAATACACCAGCCATCCACAGGCGAAATACATCCAGAAACCACAAGAAAAATGCACCCAGAAACCACAAGCAAAATACACCAGCCATCCACAAGCAAAATACAGCCAGAACCCACAGGCGAAATACACCAACCATCCACAAGCGAAATACACAAACCA